ACAACAACAACAACAACAACAACAAATATGACAACAGCAACGTTGACAACTGCTTGCAGCAGCAGCAACAGCAGACCGAAAATATTGCATTTTGGAAATGAGGTGTTGTTTGGCCATAGAGGCAAGCCTGATGCATGGTTTGTGGCAACGACAATGAGTACACGCAAAGAGCTGAGTCGAGGTATTGTCTACGCTTGCTTTGGCTGAAATAATATTTGCATGTATTTATTAAAGCAATAGCAACAATTGCAAATGAGCATGCAATTTGCATAAACATATAAATATATGTGTGCTCTATGTGGCATATGTGGCACAATTGGCAACATGCAACCGCAAGTCAAACACATTTGCATTGTATATATGTTGAACGATGAGCACATATTTGAAGGTGCAAGGATATTCCTGAATTTTACCAAAGACATTTTTTTATATTTTTTTTCTGTGTTTTTTTTTTCATTCCCATTTCCCAATGTGTGCCCAATTCGTTCGCCGTATGGCAGTTTTTAAATTGTTTTCTCTAAGCAAATAAATTCAAATAAAAATGTCATAGTGTCATTTTACGGTGGCAAAAGGGGTCAACAGAGTTTTTATAGACCAAAGTTAGTCCTTGCAGTTTTAGGTGCCATAACATATGTACATATTATATGTAGGTTTGTACGAGTACATAAAAGTGCTGCTGTAGACGGCAGTAGCTTGCAACAGTTTGATACTATTTTTCGGTTGCGATATGATCTTAAAGACTGCAGCCGTATGAATATAGTGAATTAATATACTCTTTTAGTCGCTATAGAGGGTATTTAAATTTAAAGCAAACAATTTTGATTTTATTTAAATACTTAATTTTCAATCAGGTAGATGCTGTGGGGTCCATAACTCGTAATAATAAATAATATAATTTAGGAAGTTTTTCCAAAAATGGAGCTTCATTTCTTTTAGGCTCAGGGTTAACCATATAATTTCTACAAGTGACTCTTTCACACGGGGAGCTGTTATTTCATGTCTGGAAAGTCTCTGTCGAGGGGCGACCGAAATTAGAAAATTTTGCTTAATTTTTTATTTAAATAAATTTTTCTATAATTTTGGATGTCGGTCTAAACAGGACTCGACACCTGGTCTTGCGAATGGCAGTACGCACACTTGGCTATTGCGGTCGGAAAAGGGGAATGCATAAAAGTTGATCAAGCTTAGTTCTACGCGCTGATTTTCGATGCACATACAATATTTTCAGGGTAAGCATAAGTGGCTTTTGGGTGCTTATCATTCTGTTAGAGATATCCGAGTTTTAATGAGGTACATTAACTATTTTTCCTATATAAATGAAGTAGAATTCGTATTTGGATTCTTACAGTTTAGTATCATACTTCGATATGTTGATTCCACTCTAGCTGGGCCTTGTAAATGGGAAGCGAAGATCGATGGAGGACGCAGGGTATGACTTGGCTTCATTAAGTATTTGTGATTGAATTCAACGGCAGAAAGTGTCCAGCGTGATATTGTGGACTAGACTTAAGAAGAAATCTAACTTGAATTAGAGTTAGTTTAAAGTTATTCATTACTTTTATTCAACTTTTGTTGCCTATCTGATAATCTCTTTTTTTCAGCTCTCAGCATAAATATTACTAAGCAAGCTCAGAATTATGAAGACGTCTCTAAGCACACGTTCATATTTTCCGCCCTCACTAAGAACCATGCACTTCCTCTTTCCCTAATACAATTTTGTATATACAATACGTGCATACTTATGTTTGTATTGTGTGTGAAATTAATACAAATTACATTTCAATTTATGTATGTAATTCCCAGAGTAATTTCTCTCCTCAGCCAAAATTCAACAAACACTTGACGCAAATATATCAAATTTCTATGAAAATAAAAGAAAATTAGAAATACTTGAAATTATGCAATCGATACAACAATGACCACGTATAGATATGTATCAATGAACGGTTGAGTGCATAACCCCTGTCATAACTGAGTGATGACGAACGATCGATGGAGTAAAGTTGCGTCGTCCTTCCGACTATTTACTACAAACCAAAGAGGGTTCAAGTGGTTGGCTAGTGGTAAGTCAAAGTGATATGAAGGAAAACATATTTTTGTAAGTTAAATAACAAAATAATAGAGGAATATAGAAATTAGAATCTGTATTTATATACATATGTGTGTAACAAATTTCTAATTTCCAAATAAAATACATATGCATACATGTACGTCATGTAAAATTCAGTTTCCATGTATATTTGTATGTACTGCCACTTCACTGCTCAATTCAACGCATCTCCACTTCAGCATCTCGTAAATGAACACTCGATGCGATGCCACGCAACACGACGCGTCATTTTATGGCAGAAGGGTGCTCAATTAGCCGTGACGCTATGGGTGTAAAACGGTTGTATGTACATATGTTACACACGAGTATGTCAGTCTGTATGCAGAAGGGAAGTGGGAAATTTGTATATTTATATACGCTAATGATTGTACAATGATTACATTGGAATTTCTTGCTTTTTTATCGCTGGCACAAACCCTCATTCTTTTTTTTTTTTAGATGCTGCAATGCATTTGTTTTTGTTGCTTTTGTTGCTTTTGTTACTCTGATTGTCAGTTGGAACACATTAAAATGCGTGAAAAATGTTCATTTGTTTGAACAAGTGCAGAACAGCGAGCAACAACAATAGCTTGTGATTGCATAGGAGAGGCAGATAATGTTTGTAACGGCAGTAGCTCAGCTCACTCAGTCGTTTGGGTGGGTGGGTGATTCGTTGGTTCGGTGGTTGCTCGATTGGCTGCCTACTATGCATGTAAAGTGCGTCGCTCTATTTTCTCTTACTCTTCGGTCGTGACCATTACTTTATGTGTTTGATTGTATGCCATTGGGATCGCGCGAATTTTAACACTCGCTGTCAACACGCTGTGTCATTGAAACGTGGTTTTGAATATTATTGGGTAAATTACGAGCCGCAGTTGCTCATTTTGCAATTCGTTGGTCTTACATGTATGTATGCATATGGGTGTTTGGTTGTTGGTAAATTAAGAGCGTAAAGGTTTTTTCATAAATTATGATTCATGTGGAGCTTCGAGTAGCGGAGACAACGGGAATTGTGGCAGCTGTTAGTGACAGTTTACTCGTGAAATAATTGTTGCTTTGTTTGTACACATTTTATAACGTTTTACAATGTACATAAATGTTTGTATATGTTTGCAAGGTGCTAGTAATATTAAAGAAGCAAGATTTCAGCGAAGGAATTCTGACAAAATTGTGCATCGTATCCATTGGAAAGAAATGCTAGTCAGGTGCTACCACAACTTCTACGCTTTTACTTAAAGCTTCTATATTTATGGAGCTTAAGATTACAAAAAAATATTTCCTCTGCGATTAATAAGCTTGCTTCAACATCTGAGATATCATATACAAAAACAAATTAGAAGGAGTACATATTGGTACGCTAGCACAGCGAGTATATGCGGTTCTAGCAGATTCACACGGGCTCACGCAGGAACAACTCATCGCGGTACACAATCTCTTCATTAGTTGAAAACTTCATTGGCCTCGGAAAGCTTATTGATTTAAACTTGCGAAAAAGTATATACACCAAATTAGAAACTTTAGGGCGTGATATGTGTATTTGGTTCTTTGTAACCAATTAAGCAAGTGATTTATTTTAAACCGGGTTTGAACGGCCAATGGATTTTTATAAGAATACACTTAGAGGGGTTGACTGTCGAGGGACGACCGTAATTAGAAAAATTAATTTTCTATAGTTTTGGATGCTCAACGAACCAGGACTCGAACCCTGGTCTTCAGAATATCAGAACGCAATGCTAAATAATCGGCTATAGCGGTCGCCTAGACTTAGTACTGCCGGAAACTAGCAAATGACTCTGGGTTCAAGAGTTTCATGATGTCAACGATCGTAAGATTTTTGGCAGTCATTGTAAGGAGGAGATCTAAACACTCATTAAGTCACACCCAGTCACTCATTGACTGTTTGATCAGACCACTTACATATAATGGAGAATAAAGTTAATCTTTGTACTGGCTATTTTGTTTTGGTAGCATTAGGACTCAAGTGACTTAGCTAAATTGTGTATTAAAAGTGTGGCATCTCGAGTATTTTGTGGTGATAATCTTTGAACGAAGCCCAAAGTAGCTTGCAGATGCCGTAGAGCATACAAAATAGCGGTTAGTGCAGATAGGCGGTGAATTTTTTTCTGCTAGCATTATAATCATTATGTCCGAACTCCTTCTAGGATACGGTCAGTTTTTATCTAGAGCAAATTTAGCCTAGGATATGTCAAATTTATGTAATTTCTTCAGGAATCTGTGATGCCAATGAGTCTACGATATTTCATTGTTCCATTTACCTAAATAATCAAACGCACCCGCTGAGCGCGATCACCCACAGAAATGCTCATCACTTAAGTTCACTAATTATCGCCAGCATTTTGAACATTTTTATCTTTCCAAATGAGCTGATAGATATAATATGTATAGTTGCTTATGCACAGCATTTTGGTATACCTACATATAAACATACATCGATATATAGTAAACTCGTCTCGCCTTTGGATGGCGCATAAAATGTGCTAACGTCTCAGATATTTCTCTTTCGGAATGAGTGAATTATGAGCTAATTAATTATTTGTTAATTTGTTAGTTGTCAGAAGTCATTTTAGTCACAGTTGGCGTCAGAGAAGCATTCACACCTCTGGTGTGTGTGTGTGTGTGTGTTCTTCATCCAATGTATTTGTTGGCAAGTGGAAGGTGATGATGCTGTAAACGTGCCGACATTCGTATAAATTGGGTTAGAAATATAATTTCCAAGAAAGGTACTGCCTGTATCGAGAGATACACCACTTAAAGAAAGTTTCTCGCTTTGTCTAAATTACTTTAGATCAGTTCTCCATCTTTGATTTTCCAGCTTTCCAACTCCATATATTACTTGAATTTCCCACTTAACATTACCACTCCTTAGAAATCAAATCAATTCAGTACTTACTTCTTAGTTTCTCGAGCGGCTCATGTTTCGGCGTATGCGGTGGCACCACAGCGTGATGTGGATGCTGCGGATAACCGCTAACCAAATCCTGACCGGCGGTGTGATGTAAATGACTTAGACTCCCAATCGGCATTAAACTCGAAATGGCGGGTGAAATGCTAACCGACGAATTGGAGTCATGTAGACTGTGATGATTGTGTAAATGCTCTTGTCCCGTAGCCGAACCGGCGCTACCATTAACCGTTGAACTGCCAGTACTGCCGCTACTCAGTGCAGTTGATGTTGTATTGGTACTCTCAGCAGAGCCGGCTGAGCCAGCACCAGCTGCAGTGCCGGCACTAACTAAATCCTGCAAGCATAGGCCAGTCGATTCGGCTGACATTGCTTCGAGTCCGTTAAGTGCACCACCGCCCGTATTGTGTACCACCCCAAGACCACCGCCAGCAGCGACGGCACCACCGCCGCCGCCACCGGCTCGATCCATGCCCAAGTATGTGGGAAAAATGGTGGAAAAGCTTTGGGCCACAGCCTGATGTGGCTGATGGTGGTGATGCAATGCGGCGGCTTGTTGATGCGGATGTGGATGCGGATGCAGTGGTGGCAGGTGATGATCTCTGCCGGAGAACTTCGTCGTGACGACGTCCTTAAAGTGTTGTAAAAATGTAGTCGTCGTGGTGAGGCCGGTATAGTCTAACGTTGGCGTAATATTTGTGGTCGCTAACGACGAGGATGAGCACGAAGACGACGTAGACGACGCGGACACTGACGCTGACGCTAGGTGTTGCGTCGTACGTTCGTGCGTTCGGTCGATGATTATGCCGTTGTTTGGTCTGCTGACACTTACGTTGCTGTTATTGTGGTTGGTGTGTGGATGTTAGGCGTAGTTCAAGTGATTGACGATTCGCTGTGGGAAGAAAGAAATACAAATTTTTATTAGTCAGGTGGTAAGTATGATTATTCACTTCTGATATATGTATGCATGTGGTAGGTACATATGTTTTTGTGAATTTTTATAGTGTTTGGATTGACGCTACTTCGTGCGTAACTTCGTGGGTGAAGCTCTATGTGTTCTATATGAAATCAAACTGGCTTATCTGCCAAAGGCTAATGCGCTGTTGCTGCTGAAGTAGCTTAAATACAATGCGATTATCTATTTCAGCGATAACAAAATTAAAAATAAAAAAAATTAAAAACTACAACAAAGAAGGTCGTGTTAATTTATTTAAATATATATATATATACAAGTATGTATGTCCCCACGGCAAATCGTCACACACACATATGTAATAAGCATTAGGGATAACCTTGGAATGTAATATTCTTCATTACTTTGTTTATAAAGTTAACGTTTCTACGATCGTTCCATAAAAATACGGTGGCTCGTCGTGAGGGGCTAACACTGAGATGACTCTCAAGAGTCTGAAGCACAACTTGAGGTAAAAAGAAATTCCATAAATGAAAGAAAAACCTTTGGAGCCTGAGATTTTCAGGATTGATTCTCTCTCTGAAATCAACAAAAATCAATTAGATTTGGGTTTATGTCCATGACCCTCTTTAGGGTGACACTTTAATGCTAACGACTCAGCTACTGCAGCCATGTAGGCATGAATTGGGATCTAAGTATTTAAGTAAAAAGAGGAAAGTGTCGAAGTAGTGCCTATCTGCCACACCCTTGAGTCTTCTAACAGGTTCGCTACTGAAACCAACAGAATGGAGGATTTGACTTTTTGACTTCAAATCTCCGTAGTAAAAACTAATTTTTAAAATTGTAGACGAGACTCTTAATATGAACATATTTAGCCAATTGGCGCTCTCTAAGGGAAGGGCGTGGAATACATACTTATCCATATCATACACTGGACCACCAATTGTTGTAGGCGAGGGGAGGGTCCGCTGTTTTAATACTGAATGCAATCATTGGTGAATATACTATATATATATATATATATATAGAATATATATATATTTCAAAATTACAAAGAAAAATAAATAAACTTAAGGGTTGTGTACTGTTAAATTCCCAACTCTAAAAGATGGACAGTTGGAAAATTGATAACTTTAACTAAACGCTTTATGTTAATAATTCAATAAGCTGATAACTTGAGTTAGGCTTTTTAACTTGCAAGCCAAGATATGCACATGCTTACATACATTCATACCATAGATGTATATATGTAAATAAGTAGTACATATATACGTAAATATATGTAAATGTTTACTCTCTACAATGATATTTATTTGTAAGAACTCATAGATAAACGCTGTTGACAGTGAGCGTGTAGCCGCGGTAGTGTCTGGCGTGTTGATAGCTTGTTGTAAACTGCCGGCTTTACACGGAGGCAATGTTGCGCTTAGTGGGTACAGATATACATATAAACATACATACATACATACATACATACATACATACAAACATACATACATATATAGATACAAACATACATTCATATTTATATACATATGTACATACATATATACCTACATTATGTTTGTAATAAAAGTATATTGTTTATATGCTTTAATGTACATTTATGTAGATATGTATGTAGGAGTATATGGTTAGTTCTACAAACCAAATATTTACTTCTTGAATTTTGTTTTTATTATTTTTTTATTACATTCTTACATTATCTTAAGCTAACTGAAGCTGAGGTCATGCTCTTGCCGCCACCTGTGTGCGAGGTACATATGTATGTACGAAGCCGCTTTAAACTAAACTTTTTCACTTGAAGTGATTTGTTGAAGAAACTCTTCGTAAACACCAGAAGATGCTGTGTAAATAAACACTTAAGTATATACATATACATATTTATATTTTTATATGCATGTATGTATTGACAAACAGTTGCTCCTTTAAATGACATATACAGCTGGTCCTTTTTAGCTTACCAAACTTTTGTTGTTGGTAAAGAATTTATGTCATTTTTTGTCGTTTTAGAAATTGTGTACTTTTTGGTCTTCTTTTCCTTCTACGCAATTTTGTTGTAGTGTCTACCATTCGGCTCTACTACTTTGTTCAACTATTTTAACTCGCGTACGCAATTACAAATAAAATGTTTATACCACCTTCATGCATATACATATACATATATATATATACATACATAAACATTTACAGATCTACATACATATACATACATATGTTTGCAGGTAAAATAGATAACAACAGCACTTGGTGTCTTATCTATGTAAAAATATTTACACTCTACGTGTCTTATTTATTGCGCGTGCTGGCGGCTCTACTGGCATGTATGGTCATACATACACACATACATACATACATACATAGACCTCCATGTTATTGTTGTCAGTTTTGTAGTTGCTCATACTCGTAATGTCTACAAAAAGTTGCTACAAACTATTTTGAGATCGGCTAATCAGTGCGTGGAAACTACACCTTTTTTCACTGTTTCACTGTTTGTTCATAAAATTACTGTAAAATTGTTGTTCTCTTCTGTGTTGTTGTTGTACTTTTTTAATATTTGTATTGAGTTGTAATTAGTTTTTAATGCACATCATCAGCCTAAAGACTCACCTCCTCACCTCCTCACCTCCTCCGCTCATACATGCACTACACAAACACACATTTGCTGTCACTTAGAGAATTTCTTCAGAAGTTTCATAGAAAACTTTCATGTGACGGATAGATAAATATTTTTCGGTGTTTCCTTGCACTTTTTAAGCATGACAGGGAAAGAAGGCACACATCCTTGGGTCAACTTATCGACCGTGGCTCAATTTTATCCTGACGAATAGACCACCTCAGCTACAGTCTTTTGATTGATTTTTCTACCACACGCTGCAAAAATCAAGCGACGCGACATAAATCGGCCGACATAATTTGCCCCGCAGAGTCGGTAGTTGGCGTAACCACGTTTACTCTAGTTGATAATGCGTACCTCAGAGACACCGAAAAGGGTCCACCGAAAATGCTTTATGGAGCGAAGTACCGAAAAACACCCGACTGAGTGCAATCGCTGGCGCGGGCAACAATTGGAGCTGGGACCATCCACTTGATTGAAGATTTTGTGGAAGTATCTTGGTTTGCGGGGTTACAAAATCCAAATCGTGCATGTGAATTCCCAATTGTAGACGAAAGACCATCAAGCGCATCGTACGATCGGTGAATGTGTTCAAAACAAGATGAACACCGATCTAGATTTTTACAAGAAATTATTTTTTTATTGGTTTAATGGGTTCATAAATAAACAATTTTGTCGTGTTTAGTGTGAGCAGAAGAGTTCAGAATCCATTGTTGAGACGCTATTACATACTCAAAAAGTCACCGCTTGTAGTGCTCAATAGGCAGAGGGCGACTCTGGTCAATATTTCTTCAAAAATAAGACCGCCCAACACTAAAGAATCATTATTAATTACCTTTTCCTGCCTGAACGAATCAATGAATTTACTGAAGGAATTTTTCGATGAGCGCCTCAGCTCACGTCGTGGGTCTTTAAGAACGCTGAACTGTTATTTTTGGCGTTAAGTGAAGTTGCTTTTCTAGGCGATTAAACCCGTGAAAATGCTTTGATTATGCCTTGGCTGCAAAAATGGTCAAAAATTAGGTCTCTCGGTTGGAATTTATTTGAGCCGCGGAAGTCACTCACCCGTTTTTTTAGGACGTAATAACAAACCGTTATCTTTAATTTACATGCATTTTATTCCTTCTTAAAAATCACATGTTTCAAAAAAAAACCTTGGAATTATAATACCAATGAAAATCCCATAAAAAATTCCAAAAGGTAGAAAACGGATTTTTTTACGACGAACCCAGCGTTGCCCACCTCCCGCCCAACCGACCGAGGGGCGCGTCTGAGGGAAATCGAAAAATCCAACAGACCGGTGACCGAAAACCTGTAACAGTCCAGTCTGCCCTGAACCGAAAACCGTTCGGGGAAGGTCGCGCCTCTTACACTAAACAGCTACAGATTTTTACATCAGCTGCTATAAAATTGCATGGGGAAAAGAACAGGGAATTTATTAATTATTTAAAGCACTCAGTAAGTAGTTTTTGATACAGAAAAGCGAGTTTAAACAGAAAAGCGGGAAATGTTTGTTCTACACGAGCACAATGAAAGGGGCCTAAAGTGTCTAGATGATCTTAACGGGATGGTAAAGTTAAGCTCGCTAATTAGGAAAGGGCTATTGATAGCACCTCTTAACAATTTACTTAAAAATAAAACTCCAAGTATCTTTCTACGACTATGGAGTGCAGGCAGATTAATGAGCCGTAAACGACTTTTGTAAAAAGGCAGGTTCTTGTTCGCAACCCAGTTTAAATTTCTTAACGCGAATAATAGGAATTGCTTTTGGACAGATTCCAATTAATCACTATACAATGGATAGTACGACTGAGCCATATTCCAAAATGGGCCTAACAAGTGAGGTAAAGAGTAATTTGGTAATGGGGTAATGACCCTTGAATTCCTTAGCCCAAGAAGCATTTATATGATTTCTAAAATCTGGCTTAGGGTCCATTGTGACACCTAAATCGATGAAGTCAGTAACTTGTTCAACACTGTGATTATGTATCATATCGGCAAAGGATTGGAAAGATTTTCTGAAGAAACACATATATTTGCACTTATTTAAATTTAGGGACATACAGTTCGCAAGGCACCACCTAACTAAATTATTTGGGCCAAGTTGAAAAAGCTTTCTATCTTCAATGGAATAAACTGATTTAAAGAGCTTGACATCATCTGCGTACATGAGTATTTTAGAATGAAGAACAACATTTGGAAGGTCATTGATGAACATAAGGAAGAGTAGAGGACCGAGGTGACTGCCTTGAGGGACACCAGATGTTACTGCTATTTCACGTGAGGTACAATTTTTAAAAATTCCTTTTTGTTTTCTACCAATCAAATACGATGAAATCCACTTGAGAAGAGAAGGTGGAAA